TTGACTTGTGTGCCTCGTGTGAACCAAACATTGTTGGTTAGCAGCTGCTTGTTTAGTGGAGTAGCTCACTTATCTTTTGGTGACCCATTTGGGGGTTGTACTTAGTAGCTTTTGTCAAGTATTTTGTTGTGTTTGGCTATTGTGCAAACTTTACTAGGTTGATGCTAGAAAGAGGGTGGAGGTAGGGCCAGAGTCTGGACTGACTGCACCACTGAGTATTTTCTTTGTTAGTTACATTAGGTGTTTTGGGTGCTGTGATCTCTGTGTTTTTTTTAGTAAGAATCCCCTTTTGGTTTAAATCTGTAGTTAGGCACAATCCTCCTTTTGAGGATCTCTTTTATTTAACTTTGTTATTTTCACAGCACCCTCACCCACCTCCTTTTGTTTGTTTATTGCTTGCACCTCTTGTTATCAAATAAATCATTTTATAAGAACTTACCGGTTTCTGCCTATATGTTTATATAGACATACAGGGGGCCATAACATCTGCGTCAGCGTAATTGAGCTCAAAATATATTAATCCCCTAGCGGGCACTAGACATCTGTCAATCAACATCATGAGTCAGGGTGGAATCTTGTCAATTACGGATTTTAAGATGAATCAACCATGTTTGCTGTTGTTTCATGTTTAATGCGTGCAAATTGAAATAATGCTTTATTTGGCCGTTTCCTTGTTAAAAGTACAGCGTCTGTCATTTGGTTGGTGATTACGGGGCCCATTGTCTTTAATTCATCTCTGCTTCTAGTATCATTGATGATCATTACCATGCAATGCATTATTGCCAAGCAGACATTACGGCAGCGCATCGTTTCTATCTTCAACTCTGCACCACGTTACAGCAGGCGCATCACGGTGGGTGCATCATGGCGCCCACGGCTGGTGCATGGCATCCTCAACCCATCTTGATGCTCGCTTTGAGCCCTCAGCACATCACATACTTACCAGATATTCTCTAAAAGAATAATGAAATTGTATTCCACTTGTGCTTTTTGGCTTTAGAACCATTTTAGCCATTTTAAAATACAAGCCAGCACAAAAAAACAGCAAAAGAAAGAATAACAAGACATGAAATTATATTATAAAATATTTATTTTTCCTAGTTTTTACAAAAGTTTTGGTTAAAATTAGCTTGATTACATCTTGTGAGGTGAAGTTTCAATTACAACCCTTGTAATAAATACATGTCTAAACAGGTTTACTTAGCCTGAAAATGTCACTTCTGATGATAAAGGTTAATGCCATTTTGTTCATTAAACCAAATAAATTGTATACACCCAGCAGATTGATTGAAAATGATGCTACAAGAATAACATGTTGAAACTTAATATGTGATCAAATTGAACAATCAATAAAGAAACTACGGTGTAGGAATTGTGTTTTGCAGGTTTTATAATTAAGCTAATTGATTTTTCCACATATAGATCACACAATAGCTGGTAATTAGGGTATTTGCAGAAAATAAATAAAAATAATAGGTTAAAGTTTTCCATTATTACAAACAAACAAAACAAAACACCAAAAACAGTAATGTGCCTAAAAACAAACTTAGATTTAAATGGAGAATACTTTTTTTTCTTTCTGAGTGTTATATAACTTATCGAAACGCTAAATACTTTGCACAAAACTAAGCCAAGCTCTTCAGAGCTCTCTGGGGATGATGGTGAAGGGCCTGATGGGGCAGGACGCCTCCAATTCAAGGGCCGTCAAGAAGCAGTCTGGAGCCTGGCTGGAGTTGCGAGCCTGCAGAGCCTCGCCCAGGCCGCTCCACGCCTCGTGGGAGGTGCTGTGGACCTGAACCGCATCACGCAGCACTTTCTCACCCAGGTGAACACGACCAGTTTTCACCAGCAGGCGACCCTAAATAGAAAGAGGTGAGATGCAGAACATATCATTTCCATCTCAATGCTTCATAGGTGGTCAGATGATTTTTTTTCCTGGACTGCTTTGTTTGTTTTGTTCAAAAGTATCTTGATTTGGGATGTCCAAAGCAAATAAAATGTCACTCTAATCTGTCCAAAAAACGATTAAAATCTACAGGTAATGGTCTCGCCTATGTTATCTCCTGCAAACTTTAGTTGGGCCTTAATGCTTTTTTCAGGGAGCAAATGATTCCTCCTTAAACACCTCTCAGGAAAGTTTAATTTCTTTGGGGGTAAATCTTCTGCTCGCTTGATGATCGTTCAGCTATTTTAACAGCAATACAAAAGCTTGCTCTAGATACCTTGGAGACCTATCTTTAGCATTTTTATCCCTTTACCTAAAGCTAACCTTGCTAAAATGGCCATATATTGTTGAATTTCCTCCACTTGTAGAGTATTTCACATACAACTGAAAGTTTAACCTCACATTCTTTGGGAATTCTTTAAATCCCCTGCTATTTTTCTTTCTGGAAAACATAGATAACAGCTTTATTATCACTATATTTACTACAACAGTCAGGAGCACATTGAACTAATGTCTAAGTTTTAATCACAGTGGAGAGTAAAAGTATTTGTATCATTTAAAATTGTTGTAATATGCCTAAGGTGAGTAGAAAACGTACTGAACGAGTAGAAGTTTTCTTCAATCTAATGACTTCCATAGTTCACAGACACAGACCTGCAAGCAACCTTACATAAAAAGCAAATTAAGCAAAATAGTCCCGCAATAGGGTTATGGATAAAAAAAAGTAATGATGCAAAAAAAATATTGAGTATATATAAAGAAAACAATGTACTAATAATGAACAGAAGAGCAAGGAACCAGCAGATTTCTGGGAATACTTAGAAAGGGTTCACGTTTCTATGTACTAAATAAATAATAAATCATATCAGCTGGTTAAATATTGACTAACTTAAAACACCAAAGAAATAAAAAGAAATGAGACGTTGGTCTGATTGATAAAAGTAAAGAAACCTTTAGTAAAACATTTAGTAAAACATACAGATGACAATGGATTCTGCCATATTTCTAAACGCTAGGATGTTCCACAAACCTAAACTAAGTAAAAATCAACTATTTATTTGAAATACTGTGAAGTATTAGAAGAAATTATTGGAATAGACAAATAGACAAATTATTGTCTTAAGGGGCCAAAGTTTGGAAACCCCCCCCAAGAAACGGCTTTTCAGCAGGAACCACATAGTGTAAGCTGTCTTAAAGAATAGTGCACAGGCAGACTTCATATTGAATAAAAAAAAAAAAAAAAAGTATCATTAAATATTCTGGCCCTAGTGGCCTTCATTGGAAAGTTCAACGCCTTAAAATTAGGACTGTAGCCTAGAACATCTGGAGTGAGGTATATAGGTCAATCACATGCTCGCAGTGACCAACTCATTATGATTAGAATCTAAAGAAAAGTTAAATAAGACTGGATTGCCAAGTCCTAAACACACAGCAGAGAAAACCCTCGATGGGTTTCAGAAGAATAAGCAAAAACATGCTGGACTGTCACAATAGCCTTGATTGGATCTAATTACAAATCTAGAGAAAAGAAACCACGCATACGAGTTTACAGAGTGGAAAGTCCCAGAACTACAAGAGTTGAAGACAAGTAGCCTTGAAGAATAGCTGAAAAATCCTTCCTGAGCAATATATGTAACCAGGTTCGCTGTACAAGAAGGGCTCATTTAATACTGATTTAATATGTCTCTCTCATTCCAATTATTTAATGGAGGAGTGGATCATTCTGGTGATATGTTTACATAAGGCCGTCCTACGTGCTCATCAAGTTACCTATCTTTTTGTGCTCATGTGCCCTTTAGGCGTAAATGTGTGAGCTACAGTTTCAGTCGGTCATTGAAGCTCACCTTTCCAACCGGCGTTCTTGAAAATAGCCGAGGGTTGTAAGAGAAAAAGTGTATGAGAAGAAGAGAGAGACCTGAGAGGAGAGAAACAAGACCAGAGTGTTTTTGGGACATTCTTTCACGCAATGGCGTACAGTGAAAGCACAGGTTGGGCCTTCCACTGATGCCTCGGTTGCAAAGTTTCTACTCAACAAGTAAGGGTTGGCATGCTATTTGCAGAAAAATTTTTACATCACTGCTAGTAAAATGAGGGGAAAGGGGATTGTGCATGCTCTCTCACACGTTTAACAGGTGTTCCCACTTGGGAGTGGGTACAGGGCTGTGCATGTGAATTTTTCTTTTTAAGTGGAGAGGGCGGGTCTTTTAAAGAAATTCATAAAAATCCTAAAAAATACCTTTAAATTTCTTTAATTTCTTTGATAAGTTGGTGTATTATAGAAAGACACAGGCTCTGCGGGTGTCCTATTTTATCACATGACTATATTTATCTAATACAAAACATATTAAGAAATGAAAGTGCAAATGAAAAGAGAGAATGTTGACCTGGTCTAATTCTCAGGAAACAAAAATGAGCAGTGCTTTACCACATAGCCTCCAATATATTTGTATTTCAAATATCTGTCATTGAAAGATTTTTATCTGATAAAAACCTCAAGTCAGCAGATGGTGGCTTTAAAAAGAGTAAAGCGTGGATTATAATGTTGTGAGTCGTTTAGGATAAAAAAAAAAATGAAAACAAAAACTACGCTGCAATAACAAAGGTCACATTCAGCTGAGATTGAACAACTAAAGGGAGAAAATCCACAGATGATGAGATTTAGAGGAAACCTCAGCAGATACAATGCTTGTTGTTGATAAAAAACACAGCTGCGGGTTTAGGTTTAGAAAGAGGTCTGCTGCAGAAAAACATTTTTAATCAATGGGTACATGGTTCTGCATAGATTCATGTAAGCCAGACTGCTTTAAATGATTTGGTTAGTACAAAATCATATTTATCATCTGACCCAAGCAATTACCTCCCTATTTCCTGCACACACATCAGCATTCCTGCTGTGGATGTGCACAGTGTCTTTGCACTACAGAACTCTTTCACACTGTATGAAGACACCTTCTCTTTTCATCCACCCAGTTTATTAAATAATGGAGTTTGATTGCAGCAAATTTAACCTTTCTGGGTGAAGGCATTGAAGCTGCAATGCTTATAGTATTCATCAAGTAGAGCTCTTTCCTTAAATCATAACATAAGCTAAGTGCTTATGTTGGGAGCAATAGTCTACCAAATACTATCCTGATTCAAAATTATTTTCCAAGTGCTGTCCTGGAACAACTCTGCTGGATGTCATGCATGTCACTGCCTTTCATTGGTTCAAAGCACATACATTTTTGAGGCTAATGCATCCATCAGGCTTATTTAAAGCCATTCTTTGATTTAAAAAGGTTAGAAAAAGAGAAAGGATAGAGTGACAGTTGTGTAGACAGAAATGACTTGTTAATATAAGAGAGGAGAATGGACAAACAGGTCCGGAATGATAGATGGGTGAACTCAAATAACCACTTGTTACAAACAAGATAAGCAGGTAAACTTGAAAAACAGGATAAATCAAATCTTAGAAAGAACTTGGATGCTGTTCTTTGGTATTTAATTAGCAATGTTTGCCAAACCCCACCTGCCTTTTCTGGCTCATCCTGTCCATCTCTTTATAACCACAGCTCACTTATCTTCTAATGGCAAACGCCAGCTGGATGACGCACCTTTTTAATAAAATTGAAATGATCTCATACTGCTTTGTTGAACTCTACACTCAGTTCAGATAATTCCACAGACATTAAAAATACAAAAATCTCGATCTTTGCTAAAATAAAACGTGGATAGTAGATTTGCATCATGGGGAGAAACTGACAATCTGCTCTCTGTAATTCTATCATGGACTTGAAAGAAAAGGGGCTTCATTTACAGTAACAGCCATTCAGAATGTCCCTTCGCAGTCAAACGCCAGCTGAATGGCAACCCAATTCCCTGCAACTCCCAGCAATATCGCCTCCAACTTCCAGCCACTGGGCGTGCATATTTTTTTACTCTCCCTTTCACACCCTTTCATTGAATTACAGGGTTTGGACACGAGATGACACTTCTCTTAAGATCTTTAAGTCCACAAATCAAGACAGAAAAAAATATTTTACTACAAAGATTGGTGCTTAAAAATGAATTATAGGGGACCAGCCAAGGACCTATTAAGGAAAATGGGGAAATTCTGAATGTCTACTACTTTAGCATGTATCTTCAAAAGTCTAAACCCTTAAATAGTTGGAATCCCGCTCCAACAACAAGGCCACATTGCTGTACGAGGAGACTATGTCATGGATTGGTTTCAACGGCTACTACACTCAACTCTGGACTTCTAAATGCAACTAGGAGGCTTAAAATGAGTAAACTGATATCCTAGCCAACAATTCCCTTTTGAACTTATTAGAAGGGCCTGAAGTGAAAGACCGCAGGTTTCATAGCAGGGTAAAAATACAGAATATGTTGTTGCTTCGCCTCAGGGCTAAAACTCAAACATTTCTCTCTGGGTTTATCCATTTCTCTCTCCTTCTGCAGAAAGTGGGCAAAAGGCAGACTGGCTATATATTCTAGGAAAGGTACAGTTGTTGAATGCTGACAATGGTTCATTTCACCCAATGTTTATTGTGTCCAGTATGTCCTGAACCTGGCCTGTATGGGTAACTGTACATTAAATACAGTTTCAAAGTCAGAGTTCTGATAACGTGGAGGGGTCTTAATCTGCTGTGAAAGTTCTTTTGCAATCTTATAGACAGGCTATCCTTTAAAAGAGCTGAGATTAGAGAGATATCCATCCATCCATCTTCTCTTACTTCTTCTGTCAGGGTCACGGTGGGGCCAGTGCCTACTGAATCTCTGGCAATCTTAGGATGAAAGGCAGGATACATCGTGGACAGGTTGCCAGTTTGTCACAGGACAGATTAGAGAGATACTGTATATACTGTACTTCTTTATAGTAGGTCCATTAGTGGCCAATTTATGCATATTAAGACTACAGGTTATAATCCTTA